ATTGACGCTATCACACCCATTCAACTCCTCACTTGAACTAAGAAACACGCATTCCATAGACGCATAGCTCCTTGTTTTTGCTAAGTATTTTTGTTTATTTCCCGGGAGAATATGCTCAGAATTTTGGCGTCCAAGCGCACATAGTGGACAAAATGCCAAGAGTGGTGCAATTATGTATGTCCTTTTGAGCAAAATACGCTCAAAAAGGCAGACATGTGAGAAATAAAATGAAATAAACGTAGATGTGTGACTTGTTTGAGGGTGCAGGACATGATTAATTCATTTGAATAAGCACCAAAAACGGCTTTCAACTCCCATGCACTTTGCCAGTTGCACGCAGGTTGGACCAGGGAGAGGAGAAGGCGGAGTTGGGAGATTGACCAAGTTTCTCCAAAATGTCCTATTAACATAACCATAGTTATGATTGCCATGATTGCCATGATTGCCATAGTTCTTGGAGCTCTTTGCACTTAGCTATCTACTGGTGGCCCGACCTTGTATATATATATATAGGATTCCGGAATTTCAAGAACAAGCCTGGATTCCCAAATGGCAATTTACATCATATGTGTTGGTCCCAAAATGGTGGATTTACAACCGTTTCACAGTTTCACATAGCATTTTTTTTGGAAACACAATTGGACACGATGGTTTTTGTTGGACATGGACAGACAACTCCATGTAAGGAGATGGGTCCATTGCCAACCCAGGGGCTCATTTGTTGGTGGTTCCATGGTTCCATGTTGCTGCAACCTCAGGGAGTAAGTGACAAAACCAACATGAACCAAGAAGATTCGGGCTCAACATATAGCAACAAGTGTTTGGGGATGGACAGCCATTGCTTTACCTACCATATTGCCAATGGTGGAATAAACTCCAAACAAACGAGTTTTCACCAAGGACGACCGTCCCATAGATGGAACAAGAGAACATGTGTTTGTTTCTTTTAAGAAAATAGTGCCGAGAAAAAACAACTGGCCCACAAAAAAGGGGTGTGCCCACCTGAGCTTCTGACGAGACCTTCAGGTCTTGGATCTCCAACATCAAGAGCCTGAGCCTCAGGGAAAGCCACCATGGCATGTCATTGCTTAGATTTGGTGAAACGTGCGTTTTGATCAAGATGTGGCCATCTCGGTTTTATTGGCAATTATTTTATAGGGGGCCAGTTCATGGTGTTGCTTTCAGGTGGGTTGTTTGTTTGTGGTCACTTTGTGTAGGACTCGGAAGATACTGGAAGTCTTTGATCCCGACCAGATCCTCAGCCCAAGAAATCGGAGAGATCCGGCGGCCATTAGGTCAGAGTTGGCGAAGAGGAAGGATCAACTACAAGAGGAATGTGCTCAGATGAGGCGGGATTTGCAGGCAGTTGGTGGGTTAATGCTTGTGATTGCAGGCAATCTGAATCCCCGAATCATTGGTCCTCCATAACTCCAAGATGGGAACGGGTCAAAACCTCTAGGACCAGATTTTGGGGCTATGAGTCTGTGATGTTTGATGATGTTTGTCGAGTAAGGGCAGTAAGGGTCAAATTTAGGTACCACAACAATTGGATGATACCAAGCATCGACTAAGAAAATGGGGTCTTCTGGGTCTTACAAGGTAGTTTTTCTTTAAACCCCAATTATATGTGTATATATATATTATTATACATGTATGTGATATTTATCAACCATAAACACTAGAATTCAGCTAGTTCTGTTTACCACCTTAGCCATCGACCCGGCCCACCTTGTTACTGCGGCCCCAGGCTGCCCCAGCCACAGGCCCAAGGTGCAACACGCGGAAGCTGCGGCGCAGCAGGCCGAACAGCAGGCGGTGAAGTGCCTCCGCAACGCGGCGGCACGTTTTTTTTTTTGGTGACCATGTTCACCCCGGTAATTTTCATGGTAATTCATGATGGTCATTAATGGCAATAACATGGATAAAGGTGAAAGTTAACTAAGGTAAACCCAAGAATGTGGTAGAGCAAATGATTGTTTTCTGTTATTGAGTTGACAATGTGGTAATCCAACGGTAGACCTTTTTCACCTATATAGAATAGTTGTAATATGTTGTAATGTTCATGGTACTTAAGTAACTAGTAATGGTCAAATTCAGATTTAAACAACCAACAATATGTCTGTGATATAAAAAGCTAGTGTGGTAGACTCATTGCCAAAAAACAATCCAGAATAGAGGTTTATGAAAATGGGTGTACCTCTATTTAGGATGATGCAGCAATTCACAAAGATAATCGAAGTCAAGAGAGTATATGAACAATCTCCGATTTGGGTGAAGTATATCTAGATCCTTGTAGATTCTATATAGATCCTTCTTCAATATCTTCCCGTTCCTGTTGGATGTCTCCCGCCACCAAGTAGCTTACCGGAAGATCAAAGTTCACCCATGACATCCGATGCCAAGGTGAAGTGGGTCATGCCCAGCAGCAGCTTCTGGTGGTCCAAGCCCCAGTTTGTGCTACGAAGTGGTACAAATATGTGGGATCCAGAATTAATGGTACATCATGGTACTGTACTTGGATATGCATCCCAGGAGTCGTAACTAGTTTTTTAGCCCTGTATAGCGCAATTGTTAGCAACATTCATATATATATATATTTATATATATATATGTGTATCAGGAGATCATATGATATGATATAGTGATATTTACTAACTGGGATGCGCCTTCAAGCAAATACTACATAAACGCCCCCCCAAGACTTAAGTTGTTTTCTGTTGCCCCATCTAGCTAATTCGATATACCGACCATAAATTCTCCATAGACTGAGACTAGTTATATATAAACCAACTTACGTATCAAAGGGGGCCTCTCCAGTTATTAATGTGGTCAGTGATGAACTGGAATCTCTCTGGTTTCATCCCCTCATTATAAACCATCCCCGATTACACATCAGGTTCACCTATTCTGCTCATGGTTTGGGGGTGGTACCAGGGTGTAAACGAGCCCAAAAATTGTTTTTTTAATGTATGAGTTTTCCTTCCGCCATCGTGATGCATCACGATGTTTCAGGCCAAGCAAGCGGCCTTGCAGCTGCAGAAGCAAGATAGCTCCAAGGCACTGTCGATCTATGTCGATAGCTCCAATGATTTGCTGAAGGATCGATCACCCACCTGGTGATTTTCATCGTCAGGTTATCAACCGCAGTTTCGTGGGATGATCCTCCCAGTATCCACATCCCAAGGGGGAGCCAAACAGTTCAGATGTGCCATCCACGGCAGGATCTAACAGCCTTGCAGCAGGCTGCTGAGGCGGGGAAGTAAGGGAACAAGCCAAGCAATTTGGATGCTAAAATCCACGGGTTGATGGGGGCTTACCAATATCAATGATGGAATTCAATCGCCAATTTTTATCAATAAGCAACCATCATTTCCCAATGATATCCCAACTTGTTGAAGTAGTTAAAGTATGTTAAAACCCATTTACCCTCCGGTGTCATCAAACGTGGCTTCTGGAAAATCCACCATTTAGTTCAATGATTTTCCGAGCTAAAAACCTCCAATTGGTTCGGGGATTTCCCACAAGCAAAGGTTAGTAGCATACGCAACATTAGTTCCGGTGACAAAGGTAGAAGTAAAGTTCCATAGCATAGCATTACTTCTGGTGGCAAGCGTAGAAGCAAAGATAAATAGCATGGCATCACTACTGGTGACAAGGGTAGAAGCAAAGATAAATAGCATGGCAGCATGGCATCACTTTTGGTGGCAAATGTAGAAGCAAAGTTCAATAGCATGGCATCACTACACCCGACAAAGGTAGAAGCAAAGATAAATAGCATGGCATCACTACTGGTGGCAAATGTAGAAGCAAAGTTCAATAGCATGGCATCACTACTGGTGACAAAGGTAGAAGCAAAAGTCAATAACGTAGCATCACTTCTGATGGCAAGTGTAGAAGCAAAAGTCAATAACGTAGCATCACTTCTGATGGCAAGTATAGAAGCAAAAGTCAATAACGTAGCATCACTTCTGATGGCAAGTGCAGAAGCAAAAGTCAATAACGTAGCATCACTTCTGATGGCAAGTGAAAAAGCAAAGACCAATAGTGTAGGATCATTTCTGGTGGCGAGTGCAGAAGCAAAGTTCAATAGCATGGCATCACTTCTGGTGGCAAATGTAGAAGCAAAGTTCAATAGCATGGCATCACTACTGGTGACAAAGGTAGAAGCAAAGCTCAATAGCGTGGCATCACTCATGATGGCAAGTGTAGAAGCAAAAACTCTAGCTATGTTTCCGGCCTGAATCGCGTCGCTGCTGATGGTGATATGTACCCTTGGCTCTTGACCGCGCAGTTCAGTACAACCAAATCGGGTCCGGTAACAGCGCCGGTACCGCAAACATGGACATTTATCCAGCAACAATGGGCAGTTGCCAACTGAAGTCACCAAGTTTCCATCCCCTTGAACCCCAATAAGTTGTGTCCACGAAGTCCCATCGTTCCCATCGTTTTCATTTTCGTCACTAGACCCTGCCAACGAAAGTTGCAGGCGGAGCAGCAAGCGTGTTTGGAGTTGGAGCAGGAGGAACAGAGATTGAAGCAGGTCAACCTGGATGGGTACTACTGGGTTCATACTGACCAAGCGATAGAGCCTGTTTTTTTCGGAAGACTACTTACCTCAAATTGAAGCAGCGTTTAAAAAAGGGGGGGTCCGCCAGTCCCACATTTCAAGAAAGACCCATATACATTCCAGTAGCATGAGGATTACTGTACAATCAGGTTTTGTTGTTATGTTTGTGTTTTCTCCTTCAAGGAAGGGTTTTCCCTGCCATCATCATTCATCAAGCCTTCTCACTCCATTTTCCAGAGGATTCAGCTGCCATCAGTTGAGGATTCATCCCAGCAAAGCAATTTGCACGTCCGCCAGGCGTGTAACTGAAATTTAGTAAGGGTAACTCCAAGTACAAGTGGGTGTGTCTGAAGCAAAAAATATCAGTTAGATTATGATTATGTTAGAATATGTTAGATTTAAATGAAAACAAAGGATAAATCAACCATATTCAACCATAAAATTTGGAGGCATCTTATTTTCAGACAATCCCACCAACTCACGTCAGGTGGACGAGGAGATGCATCGACGATTGAAGGCACTTTCCGGTCACCGGTGGGGATGTTGCAACGTTGGTTGGTGCAAAGAAGTACAACAACTATGGTTGTGGCAATTATAACATATTATAACTATAGTTGATGGGGAATATAACTATATAAGTCAACCTCTAAGTTTGGGGACCCCAGCTTGTATGGGGCACAGAAATGATGATTTCAGAACCCGCAAAAATGGAGATGTAACAACCAACACAGGGAACTCACAACAGAAAGTTGCTCGAGCAGAATTGGTTGAAGGGAAAATCTGCAGGAAACCATGGAAACCCCGATCAATTTGGGGGTAAACAATTGTTTCCTGTAGGTTTTTCCCTAAAAGCCTTGAATTCCTTCCTATTCAAATGACCATTTGCCGGAAGATGATGGGCATATGGTGGGGATAGAATGGGGACAATACATACTTGGGTTTGTTTTCAAACAGTGTATTCCCCAAAATGCCAACTTTGATGGGGCAAATGATAGAGCACTGGATTTTGCACAATATATGTATATATATATATACATATTATATATATAAGTAACCGACAAAATGATTGTAATACTAATTTAGTTTTGCTTCGCCTTGGCCTTTCCGAGATTGCACATAACCTTCATAACCGATAGCGGGACAACCCTATACCGATACCCCACTTGTGAGGAGTACTGAAATCCTCACAACCAATAGGGGACGACCCTAATTTGTGCATGGCATTAAACTTAATATATAATGTTGTCCGCTTTTATATGTATATATATGTATATATATATATATTTATTTTATATGATATGATATTATATTATATTATGTTATATTATATTAAATATTTTTTTTGTATTAATAATGTTATAATATTTATAATTATACTATTTAAATAATGTAATTATATTATAATATATTAAACTATATTATATTATATTATATTATATTATTTTATATTAAATAATTTTATTATATTAATAATTTTAATATTTTGATAATTATATTTTATTAATAATGTAATTATAATATATTATATTATATTAAATAATTTTATTATATTAATAATTTTAATATTTTAATAATTATATTTTATTAATAATGTAATTATATTATAATATATTATATTATATTGTATTGTATTATATTATATTTTATTAAATAATTTCATTATATTAATTATTTTCTTCTATTAATAATATATTATATTAATAATGTAATTATATTATATTATATTATTTTATATTATATTATATTATTTTATTTTATTTTATATTAAATAATTTTATTATATTAAAAATTATATTATATTAATAATTATATTTTTTCAATAATGTAATGATATTATCATATATTCTATTATATTAAATAATTTTATTTTATTAAGTAATTTTATTATATTAATAATTTTATTTCATTAATAATTATATTATATTAATAATGTAATTATTATATTATATTATATACATTTTTTGACAAACCTACTTGCATCACCACGATCGCTGCCATGGACCCCTCAAGGCCTGAGGGCCTAGCCCTTCAGGTGGAGGAGGAGGCGTCCCGGAAACAGATGGAGGAGCATTTGGCACACTGCAGCCGGGGGCGGCAGTTCAAGGACCATGGCACCGAACTATGGGAAATTGTCATTGAACTTGTATTCTCATTGAACTTGTCATTTTTGCCCATTCAAACTGTAAAAACCTTGCGGTAGATTTACAATGTTTGGACCCTCAATATGACATGATCACCATGTTTTGTATTAAGACTCAAATCAAACCTATTCATAAATTTCATGCTGAAACTGGCTGAAACCATCGTTTTTTGGAGATTTGATAGGAACATCAATGAACATCTTTTATCATTCCTTCTCCTTAACATGAAATACCCTCAATCAAAGCCCTGGTGCAATGTACTGGCTCTATTTCTTTTGATCATTTGGGGGGGCTCAGTAATGGGCCCGTGTCATCCCCATTTAATACTCATACCATAGTTTGTAATTCATATCCAGCTTTGTTGGTTTATTACATATATATACTGTATATATATATATATATCATATACCCACCATAAACTCAAGGGGTGTTCCACCTCTTACAGGTATATGATAGCCACAAGGAGGAGAACACATATATTTATGCATCTTTACTTACCAAATCCACGCCTCTCACACCTGAGGTGTTGGGAACATTCATTTAAATGTAGTTACTGTAACAAAGCTAAGAAACTAAAACCATCAAGATCCATTTGTCTGAAGGTTAAATCATGTGATACCACCATTTTCCGCTAGTTTTGGATGCTTATAAAATCAATGTTGAATATGGTTGTCCAAACACATGTGCTGTTTCCCAATTTTATATCTCCAGTTATACCCTCTGGTGATTGAGCATAGCAATGGAACATGGCCCACTGATGAGTCATGATTTACCTTTTCGGAGAATTGTGATTTTCCAGTTCACGAGGTTAAATAAGCAGAGGGATGGTATGATTCGTCCATGAAATCTCTACTGAGGTCAGCTGGATAAAGACCTCGCAGCTGCTGAAGCTGACAGGTGCGATGTTGGTCGACAAGACGAGTCCTGGAAGTGGACTTTGGATGTTGTACAGCAATGATCAGCAATGCACTGATTTGAAATGATATATCATGATAATGAGACAATACATGACATTATAATATATATATATATATTAATGTTCTATGTAACTATGGAATTTGTCGGTGCGTTTGTGATTTATAAGATGACATATATATACACATTGACTCTTCTTATACGTCAGATCCTTGGATCTTCAAGTATTCCATTGAGTGAAGGTACCATGATGCGCAAACCCTCAGTTTGGGGGACAGGGGTGCTCCAACCTACTGTAGGTAAATGATTTGCACAAGAGGGAACCATAGGTAATTCCGCCCCTTTACTGATTTTATTTTTGATTTAGTTTGCAAATTTACACTCAGTATCAGGATTGCTGGAAGCAAGCCGGTTGGAAAATACAACTCCATCAAATGATTCAAAGGAATTGGTATGGCTTCAATGGAATGTAACCCCCACACATCCGAGATGCCACCAGTCACGGGTAATTAGCTATATAGAAGTTCGTTGACCTCATGTGGCTGTTGCGCCGAGTGAGTGACCCAAAACAATTTATATGGCTTCATACTCAAAATATAGCACCCCGTCGGCAATGTAGACTTCTCCCATTTATCAGAATTTCCCTTCATTTCAATGTGGTTTCCCTTCAAACTGTTTGTTTCCGATTGCCACGTTTGATTATTTCAATTCGTCCAACTTATACAATCATAATATCTTCACTAGATTATTGTGGGTAGATATACTTCAATCCATCATGATACCAGAAGGCACCCCGATTATAAGTCGGTTTGCAGCTCCATCTAACTCCATCTAACTCCATCTAACTCCATCCAACTCCATCTAACTATACTATGGATGATACAATGTATCCACCATAAACCCAACACTCCCAGGAAGATAAACGAACTGAAGCCTATCGAACTGGGACCTCACATTGCCGTTACTTAACAAGTCCCGTTCGCCATTGCGGCAAAAAAGTCACCTCGTTTTTAGGCCTTGGGAGAAGTTTCATCGCACCAAGGCAGGCTGTGTGGTTTGGAAATTGATGGCTTTCCATGGAAATAGATGTTTCGGAACAAAGCCCAATTCCGTGGGATCTAAACCCAAAGTCATTCAATGGAAGCCCATATATCATATAACCCAATATAATTGTCTCATTTAATGGATGAACCAAATTTGCTTGGATGTCCATGTTTCACCGTTTCAAGGGATGGTTTGTTTTGTAATCTCTCTACTCCAGGAAGGTGACAGCTGCCTTGGGTACCTGCAGTTGATCAGCGAGACTTTATGGGTGATCCTTTTGGAATCACTGCCAAAATGGTGTTTTTGATGCAACGTGTTGCCATAGCCATGTTTACATGTGGCGGTTGACACAGATGAAACCAACACCCTGATTGTTTTTGCCATGGCTTTTGCCTCAACAGAATAAGGAGACAACAAACGGCAAATCAAGGCTGACGCTTTATATATTTGTTCATTTCTCCATCTACAGATTTCATTCAGACATTCGTTTTTACATTGGTTGATATGTGTTGATAATGATAATTTTTAAGTTGACAATTATTGCAGTGGTACTTGCTTGGTTAGTGCTTCAAACTGATTGTCTGACTACCGTAATCTTATTAATTCCCGATTGTTCATATTTTATTTTCACGGATTACAACTCACTAATACTCACTATATATTTGAGAATTCATCCAGAACAGTTGGTTCAAATTTTAGTAGGTGGATTAACCATAGGCTTCCCTTGGCATTTCTCATCGCAATGTTGCGCCCCTGGCTCCGACACCTGCAGCGCCCGCTGGCGGCTTTTCCGAAGCGATGGATCGGTGTACAGACGCCGCTCTGGAGGGAACGACAACAGGCCATCGCACGCTCCAAGGCGTTGCAACCGCCGCCGCCGTTTTTGGGAGGCTGGGGACTGGGACTTTTTTTTTCGGCAAGCTGAGACAGGCTGAGGGTCAGCTGGTCAGCTGTTTGCAGGTACCTGGGATGATTAATATGGGGATGGGTCAAAACCCTGGTACCTAGTGAACCCCAAAATAGCTAGTAAATGGATGTTCATCCCACTAAAAATGTATCTATAGGTATTGATCCATACCCATATGATGAAACATGATGAAAGCCAATTCACGAATCATTTTGGGGCTTGAAAGCCACCAGCCAAACCATGTGTGCAATGAGCACAGCCAACTACATGTTCTCATGTTTTAAACTGAGATTGTTGATTGATGTTGATTGCCATGTTAACTTACTCGAGGTTACCCTCCAGTAAACTAACATAGCTATGGAAAATCACCATGTGTAATAGGTAAATCAACTATCAATAACCCATGTTCCATAGCAATGTTAGTTTACCAGAGGGTAGGTCCGACCGGAGGTCCTGTGTCAGGAATCCTTCCCAAAAATCCTTCCCAGGAGACCCCGGATCTGTGGCTTCGTCCTCGAGTGCCACAGAACTGCTGCAGAGTGCGTACAACGCCGCGGAAGAAGACCAAGAGTTCGAGTGTTCATGCAGCCTGGCTGGGAATGGCTGGGAATGGCTAGTGGAAAGAGCAGGACAAGGGAGGACTTGGATAGACTTGGATAGACTTGGATCCTAGCTTGGGCTTAGGGGGTGCGGGCAGTTGGGGTTACTATCGGTATAACCATGGTGAAATAAAACCCTATGAGTTGGAATATCACTTCCATAACTATGGTAGAGTATGGTTGTGAATGGTTATGTATCCACTTACAACTGGAAAGGCACTTCCAAGTACTTGGGATAAACGTCATATTTCTCAGCTGGATTGAAACCACCAACTAGATGATTCATGGTATTATTCCCCTGCTCCTTGGTCATATCATATTCAAACACCCATATCATTTCTCCATTCCTATGGATTGAAAACTCCAAGCACGTAGTCTTAAAAGCGGTGTTTCTCCAAATCCCCAAGCGTTTCTTGCTCCCACTCCAACTTCCCCATTTTATTTGGGCCTATTTGATGTAGCCAAAAAAATCTACTTTCCACCCAGGTTTCGCAGAAAATTTGCAGTTTGGATTGCCAGGTTTTGTTTGGACTCTGAAGTCTCGCCCGCGATCGGCAGAAATTCGAAAGGCCATTGATTCCTCAGTGGATGAGTCTGGACGATCTCTTTTGCAGGTGCCACGGCTGCCACGGGGGTGGACCTTGGAATGCTGGGACAACCCCAAAAAAAGGTAGAGAAGTAGAATCAGTAAATAATAATAAAATCCTGCAAAAAATGTGATCAATGACTTTTTGATCTTTTTTGTGGTGTTACTATAACTGGGTCTTGGTTTACCACTTGATTTTAGTAACAGCAAACCTGGTGATGTAGCAATATACATGGGTAATTGTACAACTAGTCAGTAGGGGCCCATAGTTGAAGGATTGCATGAGCTTTGCCACCGAAACAATCCTTCAGTCCGGCAATCCACTGCAACCAACTTACAGTTATGGACAATCCGCCATTTGAAGATGAACATTTTCCACAAGGACCCCCTGGATTATCCTGGATTTCCATTGCCATGTTTGATTCCCAGAGGGCAGTTGTTTCTTTTATTTTCTGAGAAAGGTTGCAAACCTTCCCACTGAAGAGTGCCAGATCCGGGTGAATTCCTTGTACATGCTCAGTTGAAAGTTTCATCGGAGCCGATTGCCTGTCAGTTTTTCATATACATGTTTTTTTGCTTAATTACAGTTGTTTCACTTTGAATGTTGCCTACGATCCATGGTGCCCATGTTGCCTTGTGCATCATCACCTTGCCATGTGTCACGGACTATCCTTGCCTTGTCGCTACAGGTCCTGTCTGGAAAAGGATTGGTGAGGCCCATGACATATCTCCTGGACATGCAAGCCAACGTGGCACGCAGAGATTCCAGTGGTGGCCCGGTCATCGTTCAAGGTAGTGGTGGTGGTGACCTCACCATGACCTCGTAGATTTCTGATGGTTAATACTAAGGGGAATCAGCGGGGAATGGAATGGGAATTTATGATATTTATGGATATATATATATATATATAGTTATGTAATATATATATATATCTATTTATGTATACAGTATATGTATTTATTTATCTTTATCTATTTATGCCAAGTGGTTTGGGAAGGATCAATCAACAAGTTACAGTAGCTCTGCGTCTTACTTGGTGATTTGGAAATGATTGGGACTTGGCCAGATCTAGAGTCTTCCAGTGGAGCCACCACTGGTTTCCCAAGGGTTTTCAAATACAAATTACTGTACAATCAATTATTGTTTTACTGGTCTTGACAGGGATGGGGAGCCTCTATACATGGAACTAAAACTGCTTTGAATCGCGGTTCCAAACATGATTTGCAATTGTTTGAAGCATTCCAAGATCATATGGAAGTATGAAATATCAATCTGTTTCCCACCTCTTTGAGAGGACACTCCCAACATGTTGTGCCTGGGCTTCTTTGGCGGCCTTTCCGACTGTTGGTTTATTTCACTGTGTTTGCTATTCATGGTTTATGGTAGAGAAATGGAACCAGGTAGAAAGATGAGTGGACATAAACTGGCGGGCCCCACATTGTACAGTAAATACGTTGGTCTATGTTACCCCACTAGTTCGATACTAGTTAAAAGTTAAAACTGGTTCGAAATATGAACCACAATATAGGGGTTCCCTAAAATAGGGATACCCCCAAATCATCCAAAATTAGACCATATTTTGGTGTTGAAACCTATGGTTTTGGGATCCCCTGGCTTCTTGCGCATCGGCCACTGCTGTTTCAGGCTTCACCGCCTTGCACGCCACGGCCCAAAACGACCAGAGCGAAGCTGCCCTGCTGTTACTGTCCCGAGGACGGGCACCGACCAATGTGCGGAATGCCATGGGCACCTTGGACGGAGCTGGAAAACAGCAGTTGGACGGGGCCTTATTTGGAGACAAACCTTTGTTTGAGCAAAAAGTATGGGAAACTTAAATATATGTATTTTTGTATTGTAGAGAAGGTGCTCCTAAAAATGGTTTCTTTGAACCAAAGGAGCTCTGTTCTTGTGAAGGGTTCCCCTCCAGAGGCCAGGTAGGTATATCCTGGCACCACCAACCCAACAATGGGGCACAAAACGGAAGAATGACCGGGGTACAAAGGCTTCCTTTGGGAGGGTAGAACATGGTAGAACTTGCCTATCATGTTGGCATTCTGGTACAACAGCCACAACGGAAAGGCTGTCCGGTGAGTGGATGTGAGTGGCCTTTGCCAGGCTGCTGCTGTGGTCGGGTTTTGTTTTTTTTTAATTCCAAATTGCAGCCAGCACGTGCACTGATTGGGGTCCTTGATTTTTGGTGCACGCAGCTTTGACCAATCAAGTTGGGTATCCCTGCAGCATTCCCAGGTGACACCCCACTTCATTTGGCCATCGACAAAAACAGCCGTGCGATGGTGACTTGGCCAAGGGCTCAAAAGGTTCCACCCACATGTTCTCGGTATATTCGAATGAACCCCAGCGGCAGTATGTTCATTATTCCCACTGAGAATGTGCCAGAAGTATCAATTCACTATGTCCCAGCCAACCATGTTCTGGTTGGTGGTTTCAAACATTTTTTTTCCATAATATATGGGAATAATCCTTCCCAACTGACTTTCATATTCTTCAAGATGATTGAAACCACCAACCAGATGTTGATTCTTGGCACCGTGTTCTATTGATATTGATGTCTTGTAGATTTAAAGTGACCTCGGCAGAGAGATGCAGCTAGCCTTCACTCACGACACAAATAGCCCTGTGGACGGCGCCTTCAAGGGCCTTCAATCATTGAGATTGCACCTTACAAAACAGAAGAACTGTGTTGAATGGTGACATTTGAGAGTTACAGTGACATGTTACATCATGTTACAATTCCTGGCAGCAGCATTTTCAACAAGTTTCAACATGTTTTACCGCCCTGCTGCCAGGTGAAGATGCTCATGCGTTTCGGCGCGGATCCCAGCTGCCTGGACACGCGGCCTTGGAGCGATGCCGAAGCGCAGAAGTTGGTGGACTGGAGCAAGTCACCTGGCAGGTGAGCCTGGTTGGAATGGAGGATTCACCCAGAAAATGGAGGCAAGACATGCTTTTAGCCATGTTTTAGCCATGCTTTACAATGTTTTATGTATTTTACCAACATTGTCACATTGTGTTTTACATAGTTTTGTTGACACATGCGAGATGTTTACAGATTGTGTTCCCATGTTTTGCCAACAAGAAACGCCCGGCTGCCACGGGCGACTTGAGATGACTTGAGATGACTTGAGGCTACGAAGCGAAGGAACATGGGAATGACATCAACATGGGGAATGTAACCATTGGTTGGTGCTTTATGATGTGCTTTATCACCGTCAATGGGGTTCAATTTTGCCATCAGTCATAGGTCGATCATTTAACCAGCGAATTCTGATATTTCCACTTGACCAGCCTTGGTGTGGGAAATGGGCAGAAACCAAACCACGAAATCCTGGTTTTGTGACCTGGATTCTCGTCTATTTTGTTGGGACGCATTCAGTTGGGGACAAAAGACTTTGGATTCTACAAGTGCAAATGTCGGACGTTTTAAAGCAGTGTCGAATACTGAGAGTCAATAGTAAGCTGTTTGCAACAGTGGGTACTGCGCAAACTGAAGATTGACATGGGATAGCGGAGCATGTTTTTTTGAGTACATGGTTTGTGTTAGACGTATAGATGTGTACACCAAGACAACCCCCAAGGATTGTGCAAACCAAGTACAAAGTTTTGACATTTTATGACAATGCATTGCCTGGATTTGCTCATATTTGCTTGGATCACATTCGTGTTGCCGGAAACCTGAATCTACTGTTTGAACATAGCTGTGGAAAATGGAATATGTATAGATGATTTACCTTTTTAATCCTTTTTAAATATGTGATTTTCCATAGCAAATTGTTAAATTGCAAGAGCGTAGATTGGATGACCAAGTACTTGATGCCTGACCTTTTGTGTGTGTGTATACATGTATGCCTGGAATCATGAATATGTGGCTTGTCAGTGATCACAGGTCGGTGAAACCCCCAATTCATAATCAGAAAAGTGTACGGTACTTAAAGACATAGCATAACACTATATATATATAATGCGTCCTACCTTAGGAAATTATTTTGAGGTGGGAGTAGGTTATGGAATAATTTTTATAAAATAATTTCCAATTTTTTAACATAAATTTTATGTTAACATCAGCGAACAAGAACCATAGCAAAATAATTTATGCACCCGTAACCCGATGATGGTGCAAAATAATTTTCCACCTACAGAGGTTGAAGCACCTTGAAATAATTTTAAGCAAACAACCGAAGGCACCTCAAAATAATTTCTCAGTTGAACTGGGGAAATTATTTCATAGAGTCCCAATTGTATAAAATGATTACCAGACACCCAGGATGAAAATTATTTCATGGGGAAGTTGAGTTTTGCAAGGTTAGGTTATTTTGTTTTCTGGGGTGGTCTGGTAGTACCCCCACCCCCAAAATAATTTTTTGGGGAGAGAGGAATCGATTCAGGTTTCTTTGCCCAAAAGTCCATGATAAGTCGATGTTCTAAAACATAAGTAGTTCAGTAAATAATTCATGGTAATTCTCAGGGTTTGTCTCTTTGAGGCAATTTGGATACAGTTTGGGTCAATTTGGATTCAATTTGGCTCAATGTAGTATTTTTGAACTATTCAAGGGGAAGTTAATTTTGCCAGGTTAGGCTATTATTTTTTCTGGGGTGGTCTGGTGGTAGCCCCACCCCCAAAATAATATATTGGGCAGGAAGGGGTCGATTCAGATTTCTTTGTCCAAAAATCGATGGTCTAAATAATAAGTGGTTCAGTAGTGAACCACCCCCAAAATAATTTGTGGGTGTGAAAGGGGGTCGGTTTAGAGATGATTTATTTGATTTGTGCCACAACCTCCAAGTGGTTTAGTGCTTGTCGGGTGCATTCGAGAGGAGAGGTAGGGTGACCCCCCAAAATAATTTTGTGTTTTTTTTGCTAATTATTTTGAGGTGGTTCTACTTGTTTTTTCAATCATCCAAAACCATCTTAAACCACCTCGAAATAATTTCCAAAATTATTTTGAAGTAAGGGAAGTGTTTTTGAGTAATAGTGGAACCCTACCAAATATGTTATTTGCAACCTTTCAGAAATTATTTTGGGGGGGTGGGTAGTGTCAAAGGAAATTATTTTGAGGTGGGTTAGAGTGTTTTTGAAAAAATATTTTGAGGTGGGTTGTGTACTAGAAGCACCTCAGATTAATTCCTAAAAATTATTTTGGGGGGTGACCCTAGTGTTTTTACCTATGGTAGCCCGCATTATATATATATATATATATATATGATATATATATATATATATGTATACAATTATACAGAAATTATTGGGATTTGTCTCCTTCACATCTTGTCACAATCCAAATGCAACAGTGGGCGAAAATGTGCAAGTAATGTGAAAACCCAGTGATGTTTCAACAGGGCATCCTCGCTAAGGTTTGTGAAGAAATGCGGCTCCAGACTCCAAATTATTCAAAAATGGTAAAATGATGATACACCATTGGTTTTGCGTAGTTAGTTTAGTATTTTAAGTTCCTACCATATGCGGCGAGATAAGAGGATGATATAACATGAACTTCACCAGTGAAAAAAACACATCTGCAGGGTATCCAAAGATTCGCCTGGAATCCAAGGAAATATTCCGAGAGGGCGAAACAGCTGATCGGCAAGTGCCTTTGAGATTCAAAGGGCTGCAGTGATGCAACTCGTAGTGCCTTCATGTTGAAAATTCATGACTTATATGATACTGCATAGAATTGATCGAATTGTATCACCTATTTTTATCGAATTGACCGAAATGTATATCATTATACCGTAGCACCCAACCTAAGTCTTCATTTTTTTTCCGCGGATGGTCGGATTGAATTGCCTGTATATGCAATGTATCGGCCTCAGAGGCCTACAAAGCCCTATATCCGGAAAAAAAAAAAAACTACACATGATGCGCAGTAACTTGTTTTGTTCTAAACATCATTATCATCATTATGATTAATTCTGTTGTGTCCTGCTATGATATGTAATGTAATAGGAATACAATATATCCGTAGTATAGCTATTCGTTTAATATACGACTCATTGAATATTGAATATCCATGAAACAGATCCATTCCAATAGTTCCCATGATAAGTATCCATCATATATATATAGATGATCTATGGTGTATACATTCCATTCCAAATTGTTCTCTTCATCATAAAAGAAAAAAAACAACATAAATAAAAATGATAATAAATATATATATAATCATATATATATATATCATATAAATAATTATATTAATTGGATCATATATATATATTATATATATATATATGTAATATGTATGTATTTCCGTGAAACAGATCCATTCCATTCCCATGTTTCTCCAGAGCGGAGGATCAACACGGTGCGCTACTTCAAGGCCTTGGGCTCGGAGCTGCCGTCGCACCTGGTGGCGCCCAAACTGGTCCTGACACCGGCCGCACGGAGCCAACTACCCGGGGGTCGTTGAAGGACCGGGGGAGTCCTATGAAAATCCTATAAAATCCTACGAAATCACTGGGGATATGAGGATTTTAATGGATTTTAGGTTGATTTAATGGAATTGAATGGAGATGTATCGGGTTTTCTGGCTGGATTTCCTGGCACATGGGATTTTGAGTCGGATTTAATGGCATTTAAGAGTGATATGTTGGGAGTTAATTTGATTTAATAGTGATGTATTGGTATTTGATCGGATTTCATGGGACTGAATGGAACAAACATGTGGGTGTGTCTGAATATGTGATATACCCCCAAATATCCATTGTAATTGGCAAAACGTTGATAAACGCGGATTTAGGGATGCCCTATTTTCAGACAAAGCCCAAATTGGAACTGCACCCGCAAAAGATGGGGTTTAACTGATTTAACTACCAAGCATTTGGTATTTGGGAATGGGTGATGGGGTTCTTCTTTAAATGGTTGGGAAACATATGATTACGATATAAATGTTAATGATGTTATATATGGAAATTAGATGAAATTAGGTCCTCTATCAACCTGTTCAAGTTCTTCTCCATAGCTATGTTAAAATACCACAATGGTTGACCATTCCCAATGATTTGTTGACCTATCTCCATCAATGGTGAACCCCAGGCCATGTTAATCCCGTGGCTTCAACCTAGCCATGTTTGACTACATCCCCGTCTTTAGTGCTTGAGTCCTTTTTTGTGTCGCTTACGAGTCAAGGTTTTAACCATGTTTTAATCACCAAACTGAGACTGTGGTTAAAAACCTCAACTTTAGTGGTAAAACCCATGGTTTGCACCACCTGATGGCGTCGCAGCGCCTTCGTCTCAGGTTGGCTACTGCCCAGAGGAGGATGGCAAGGTGGTACAGCTCCCCCGCGGCATCCGCTACGCCAAGAAGAGGAAGGGACCATCGGCGCCCAGTGGCAAAGTCAACTGGACACTTGGTGAGTATTTCCTGGGGATAAATCATCGGGATAGGGATAAAATATTGCAATGAATTGAACTGAATAGGGATTTATATGGATTTATCATTATTCCAACTTGGTGATAATACATGACAATTATTAGGGATTTATCCCATTTAATAAAGAACATTTGTGATTTATAGGCATATTATTGGGATAGGATAGGAATTTACTGTAATGGACTGTAATGGATGTTATACCTGCAGTTTTATATTCTGGATTGATTTCATGGATGTTATATATCTATAGTTCATGGATTCTAATGGTATATAACCAACCATAAATGGGGATATATTGGGATAGATGGACAAACCATAAATGGATATATATATATATATATATATTGGGATATATGGTGAAAACAGAGATAGTACCTACAGGGTTGCGCCCCTTAGATATATAGCAAACTTGGCTTCGTTCACTTGCTGATATATTATCAAATTATGTCTATAATTGGGAAATTTGTTGGGATATTATTTATTTGAATCCAAAATAGTCAAAACAAGTTTGTCCCATTATGAAAACAAAACGTGATCTTCCGATTTTATTCCAAGTATATCCCAATTATATCCCTATAAACTCCTATTGTTGTTGGTTGTAAATCCCTCTGCCTGTTTATAGTAGCTAAGTTGACTTAATTAGTTCACCTGGCAAACTGTTGGGTTTATGGGAGATAGAGGTGTCATCAAACATGGTTACATAGCTGGGAAATCCCTGAAGTGAATGGACATCTATAGCTGGGAAAATCAACTACCAATGCGGAATTGTCCAGCAAGCCATGTTTGATTACCACAGGGTCGTTACGAAAAGAAATTTGATGCTCAGCAACAAAAGCCGGGATTTAAGGGATGGTGATGAAGATGGAGATGTTCGATACAAAAAGTCGGAATATGAGCAAGATAAATTGGGAATTTGGCGTGAAGCTGAAGCTAGAGAATAAGGAATTTCAGCGTTCCATGTTGTGGGCCTATCCCCAAATCAGGTTCAGCTGAAAAGATAGGTGATCCCAAAGATTTCTGGTAATTGAGTTCTGAAATTATTGAGCAGCATTACTAGCAATGATGATAATCGAACAAACGATAGTGGTGGTTGTACACAAATGATTTTGTTTGACCCCAGATTCCGCAGAGTATATTCACGGGAGAAACATGATGATTATCAAAAAAACTGGTTTGACATTTGCCCATGTTTGTCTTCTTTGGTGATGTTTTTTATGCTGGGCAAATTGCCTCGAGGTACGCCATTCGGGGCTAAGCGACGCCGTGGCGACACTGTGAGAGAAAAGACATCAGTGGGCACCGTGTCCAACTCTTGCAATCACCGATTAGGCATGCTTATTTGTTGCTTATCTATCAAACAAAGTTAAACCATCTCCATGTTTCATGGTTAAACCTGCATTTTAAATAGTTATAAAAACATTTATACACATTATATATATATATTATAATATTATGTATATATATATATTATATAAATAATGTTAAGCCACTTGTTGCAGCTTGTTAGACTCTAAGGTGATTTGAACATACCCTTGAAACATACCCCAAGTCCCTCCAACGCCTCCAATGTTCACGGAATCCTTCCATAACCCTCTTCACATGGCATGGGATATTCTCCAGGGGTCCCTCATTTGTCCGTTAAACCACCATCTTTCATGGTTCAACCAGCTGTTTTGACAGTTAAGTCACCTGATTTTGGCTGGGATTTGTGTCAGGTAAGCCACCATTTTTGTTGTTGAACCCAACTATATATATTCATAGTCAACCCTGAAGATCCCCGAGACCTGTTGCCAGGCATTGGTTGCTGAGTTGTCGACAAAAGCCAACGCGACACGACGCGAGCGTGGGAGAACTCAGGGCGCGGCTTTAGGTTTTCGAATTAGACAATTTTAGTATTGAAACCTATGGGGATTCCCCATTTCAAATGGCCTGTCTTAAATTGAGAACATTTTAGGTTTTAAAACCACTGGAAGTGGCGGTTGTTCAACATTTGTTTTTAGACATAGCCATGTGAAAACGCTGGGAGGGTGATTGTTTTGCGAAAAAGTAAATCAAATATGTCCAAATATTCCACATGAACCACGTGCAGAACCCAGTTGCTGATTTTTAGTTTGGGAGAGGCAAAAACGACTTCGGACAAGCAAGACGCTGGTGCGCGTAAGCCCGCGTAAGCACCAGCGAAAGCTATTCCTGAAGGTACGCTAAACCTGAGCAGCGCATAAGCTGCAGCATAAGCATTTCCTTAGTGCCTTCAGAACAAGAAGACCTTTTGATCACGGCTCAAATGCATATATATATATTTGGGGTATCAGGTATGTCCAAATACACATATATAATATGTCCCACATAGCAATTGATGACATCATTTGGTTCACCCATTGGCCCATCACCCCAAGCTCCAACCCGTGTAACCGGCCGTCGAGACCAGGTGCCGATTTGGCGGCCAAGCTCAATGCTCTCCAGACCCACCAGGAGATGCAGACGCGTTTCTTGCCGTCAACGGAGGGTGACTTTCGCAACGGCTCTGTGCCGATTTTCACAAAGAACAGTAGGCTGGTTGGTGGTTTGGAACATGAATTTTATGACTTCCCATATATTGGGAATAATCATCCCAACTGACTAATATTTTTTCAGAGGGATAGGTCAACCACCAACCAGTAGGGTTTTATAGGGACAGAATTGGGATATCCATGGATGAATTACAATGATCTCACTGAGATGTTACTAGAATTGGGTGGTTGGTAAGGGAAAATACGGCCCCAAATGGCTTTATTTCAACCATTTTCAGGTTAGTGAATTACTATACGTAATTCAGTCAGATGGGATGGAAAGTTTGATGTTCACAAACACGGAGTCACAGAGGTAACTTTTTTTTTTAATTTACAAGCAAAGAATGCGGAACAGCAAGCGAGATTTGGTTGGTGTTTTTAGTACTCTGCATGGTCCATCATGTTTGTTTCATCATGGCACCAACCAGCTGATTATTGATGAACTCACCACATTTCAACAACTTGTGGTTGGTGGTGCAATTTGTTTACTGAGATAGGCTTCCACCCTGAACCAGATATGCAAAAGAATTTGATCAACCAGACATGCCTATCGAATGTGGAAATGTTCAGTTCCCAATGATGAGTTATATATTACACACACACATATATATATATATATATGTATATATATATATGATATACTCCGTGTTTGTTCATCGAGTCATATCCCATGTTTTGTTTGTAAGTTAAATCGTCGGTTTTTTTTACTGCTTCTTGACTTGTGCTGCTTATTGGTTATATAAGTTTTATGTGTTCGCATATTTATCGATCCAATATTCCTAGCAAAGCATTGTTTCTGACATTTTCCCATCCAGTATAGATAAATATCAAAGTCATAAATCATTGGCAGAGTCCTGTTCCTGAAGAACAGCCATAACACATATTTTAAGAAGACAATTTCTGGCCACTAGGATTCACATAGGAGTTATAATCCAAGATGTTGTTTAATGAATGTTTACAAGAAAATCCAATAGTTGACGGTAAAAATCATGGTTTGATATTCCCCTCCGTTGATACACATGATACACCCAGAAACGATCAAAAAGGGTGTTAAAGCTATGACATGTTATACCCTGTTTGCATCCATTTGACCCAGATGATTTCCAGAGTTTTCCAGTGCAATCTTGATGATTAAATCAATTAAATCGCCACGTTTGCTAGTCAAAATCACTAGTCAGAGTTTTTGCTGATGAAATCACCTTTTTTTGCTAAAAAAAAATGTTTTTCGACTACCGCCGCCAGGTTTGCTGGAGACCCAGCGCTTGGAGGCCCAAAGCTCGCAAGATGCCTTTCGACTCCGCAACAGCGAGGCGTTGATGACACGAATTGGATGTGCTTATTGACAGAGAGATAGATTTATTGTAATTTGATATTCAGAATTGAAGATTGATACTTAATATTTAGAATACTCTAGCAGTATCAATGGTAGTACCAGTACAAACGTGTGTACCTAGATATAGTTATATATCATATTGATAGTTTGCGTTCAATATTAGCAGTCAAATAATTATTCAATAATATTCAATATCTATGTTAATTTACTCGAGGGTAGTATTAGAGGTTGGTTCACCCCTAAGTTTCTATTTCATAAATTAGCTTTTATAGATTAGTTTTACTGGAATAAGTATCAGTCCTTGTATTGGGAGTTGGGTGCATTTATAAATATCATCCAACTTTGGTTGGGTACCGTCAGAATCCAGTGGATTGCACATAATGGGATTGAGAAATGATGGTCGGGATATTCATAAGATAAAAAAGGAAATACCTTATGATGGGTCAACACTTTATGGGCCATAACATGTTCATTTCATCCATGAATTGAATACTTGATGGGCGACCACTGTATGACATTTTATATTCTAGCCTTTTCGCCACTTAAAATTCTTACCCTAAAAGGTTATGTAACATAGCTAGAAAAATAATGACCCATAGAAATTGAAGATCTATGATCTACCGATAAAAAGTGGTGATTTTCGCCTTGGCGTTGACTTGTCCTTAATTTTACCGGCCGAAGGGGTGAGAGAATGCCAAAAAAGAAGGTTTATTGGATTTACCCTCTGGTTATTTAACATAGCTATTGAACATGGCCATGTATAGTGAGTTTTCCCATTAAAAATGGTGATTTTCCATAGTTATGTTAGTTTACCAGAGGGTATCATACTAAGTCTTACTCTAAGTGTCCTCAAAAAATACTGTATATATCCTCAAGGAAGGCATGAATATTGAAATGTGTGAAACTGAGGACCTTGGCCAATGGCCAATGGGGGCAATAATTCACCTTGGATCTGAGTTGTTCAGAATTGCTTGGATGGTCCTTGTGAAGTCAGTGGCTTTTACAAGGTGGACCCCCCAAGAGGTGATGTTTGGTGAGGTTTATAAACACCATGAATACTATAGTTATATCTATATCCTCTAAAGGGCCCTAGTTAGCCATGTGAACTAAGTCAACTTAGCTATGGGGTCCCCACCTGGCATGCGAACAGGGATGTAGCTCAGCAGGAAGGGCTGATTTGGCAATCGTAACCAGCCCCAATTTGGGACATCCAAAGGATGAAATATTTTCCAACAACATTGCAAGCAACGGATGGATTGGACGAGAAAGTGGCCAATGAACTCTGAGCAACTCGGTTTTTCCCAGTCTGCGACCATCGTGGGAATAGCAGAGGCAACGTGCAGATATATTATTCCGACCACCTGAAAATGATTCGAGCTTGCTATGATAGCAGCAGTTCGGCTACTGCTTGCATTAATGATTTCGCGCCAATCGGCGATGAGTCAGTGAACTGTTGCCGCTGAGAGATTAAACTATCTTGCGCAGCCAACAGTATGAGTGCAGCAATGACATCGTAGCCTGTCCCTTTCTCGAAGCACCCCGATGATCATATGGTTCTGCGGTTTCGAAAGATACAAACGTGCAGAGTACATGTTGAAAAGTTTGCTTGGCATCCTCCCCTACCAAGTCTTTTGTTTAGTTGTTGAACCCCCTCCCTTAAAAAAAAAACAGTCCCCAACCATTTGACTCTGTGCTTACAACTGTGATAACACTGGCACCTCTACTCGCGGATTGTGGTTGATCTTGGAATGGGGCTCATGTTCAGATACAGCCATTTGTCATGTTGAATGTAATGATTTGTAATGTATTCCCATGTCCCACTATATCTCCACACCCCCATCATATACCCATCATATCTCCATTGTATCCTCACTATATCCTGATTCTATCATATTCTATCCTCATGATATCCCCATGGCCCATGCTATTCTCTGTATATCCTCATCAACAGTATAAGTCGCGCTTGGGAACCTCTTAGATCACGAGGATCAAGAGATATATAGGATAGTTCGAACCCATATTAAATTAGTAACCCCTACCATAAAATATACAACTGGGGATATTCCATATAAATTATAACTGTTTTTTTCACCCATTTACGGTTCATGTGGCAGCCTCCGCCCCTGGGCGGTCTCCAAAAAAAACATCAGTCGCAGGCCCTGGCAGCGCAGAGTGAAGAGCTGCAGATGGACGCGAAGCTGAGGAGTACCAAGACAGAGGTCCAGACACTTCAGGCGCCGCCGCCGGTCTTGGGCTCTTGGGCCTCCTGAGTTGGTTGAAGCCTGAAAAAATCTGCCATAGGTGGTCTTGATCTGCTAAAAAAAGACGCTAAAAAAATGGGGGGATTGAACTATTGAACTATAGCAATAGGTTGGGTTTTTGAGAGGACATGTGGAAATTTTATCATCAAAACATTGGGGAATATCTGGGAGTTCGCCAACCATAGTTGAGTTGTGCTGTGGACTCAGGTGGATATATCTACTATAGTTGGATGGGGTTATAATTGGATGGGCGTCAAAAAGTGGAAGTAGCAAATTTCGGGAAGCAACAAAAACATAAAGCATGTTCATCTATCACTGGAGGTCTACTACTGGGATTCATAGAAATGTTGCTGGGACACATTCCCAAAGATTTGTATGTGGATAGGTCGTGTGGATATCAATGACAAACAAAACAATGCAACAAACAACCATGTATTAGCACGATAAGTAACACAGATGCTTTAGGAATATTCTTACCAACAGTGACGACTTAAGTTATTAAGCCATGAATCTTGGAGTTTAGCTACCAAGAATGGATAACACTTGGATCCAGACGTGTCTCGTGACATCAGGAGTTTTGGTTCACCAGTGAGGCTACCACCTTGGAGCCTCTTTTTTTTGGATCAAAGTCAGTATTTAAGGTACTAGAGTTAAGCTCTGGTAATTTACAATAACTATGGAAAATCACCATTTTTAATGGGAAAACTCACTATAAATGGGCCATTTTCAATAGCTATGTTAAATTACCAGAGGGCACTATAGTTATACCATGTTATGTTAGTCATGGGGAGATTGAATCGAAATGATGATCAGCTGATGGCTATCCTATTTTCAGACAAACTCCGGCATAGTGGCCTCAAGTTCCCGTGAGAAGCAACGAACGGCAACGAACTTGACCGTGGCATACCGTGGCGACATTTCTCGCATTTGGGATGCTCCTCAATCTGGAAAACACAGCAGAATGCAGACACGGGCTAGAGCCTTTCCTAGTAGAGGCACAGAGGCAATAAGTTATCTTGGAACAAATTGGAACATCTTGGAACTCTCAAGTGGCTAAGAAACTTGGGCCTACGGCCTGATGAAATCTGAAGGCGATACCCATGTGCAGAGATAGAGTCAATAATTTGCCCAGCAGGATGCCAGCACAAAAATCTCAAAGCTGGAACCTGCTTTGTCAATCTTTTTCACAGGTGAGCCTCACAGTTCATGATGGGAGTTAATTAGATACTAGGAGTTATTCCTACAAGTTCGAGCTTTTGCACCCAAAAGCATGAACTGTGGACCCCCCGACATTTCCGGCTTTCACGGGATTTCAAGAAAAAAATCGATGAGTTTCATGTTCCAAAGCCACTTTTTTCTTGGAATTTGCAGGTCTTCAGGTGGTTAACACCCCGTGAAAACCCCTATGCCCAGTCGTAAGAGGCCGTCGCCAGAGGTGTATCTCCAAAATGTGACCTCGCAGCGACAGAGTGTGCTGGATGAGGCGAAGGGGCACAGCGTTTTCCTCGGTGGGAGCCCCAAAAGATAGCAAAGGTGGTTACGTATTATAGTTATATGATGTGATATTAGAATTATAACTCCAATAACTGCAATAGTCATAGTGGTATAAGTATAACTATATCTTTAAGGGAGTTGAGAAATCAACTTGTAATTGCGGGCCACCTTGTATAATAGCCTAAATATGTGCAATTATGATTTTTATCAGGATTGCTAGCCAGTTGGCAAGTGACAGTGGCAAGGACGGGAATATCATGGGAGTATAACAGGAATATCATGGGAATGTAGACAACTTTTAATGGATATATCATGGGGTAGATATAATCAACGTTAACCAACAATATGTGTTTCATAATTTCATATTTGTGTTTTTCTAGTGACTCAGAAACAGATAGGAACAGGATTTGATTGGATGATTGGGGTTCCTGACTACGATTCCTGGAATGCAAATCTAAGGTGCGTGAGGGAAATAGATGGTTGGCGAGTGGCCTACAACCATCCGAAATGATTGGCATGTCCAAATTGAAGAGAGTGTCCGGAATTAAAACATGACATGTTCAGGTACCTCAATGTACCTCAACCAACCCTCACCCAGACCCATTTAACCACGGTATGGCCATTCAATTACCCAACATAGTTATGGAAATTGATTGAATTTGATGGGTTTCCCATGGAAAGTAGTTTCCCATGAAAGGTATATACAAACTATGGATATTCCATATGTGAGTTTACGAAAGAGTAGCAAAGGCAGACAAAGCTACTGTGCAATGTATCGCAAATGGGTGTGTCTGAAAATGAGGTATACCTTCTAAATGTCCATTTAAAAGGGAAACATTGATGATTAACCATCATTTGTTTTTTTCTAACATTTTTCAGACCCAAATGGTTGTGGGTCGTCAACGCTGGAAGAGTTCCAGGTCGCTTCTGCACGCCTAGAGGAGGCCAGCCTGAAACAGGAGGAACAGGTGCGGGTCGCAGCAACATCCAAGTCATTGGGAAAGCACTGGCTTTGGGATACCTCAGGATTCAGCAAAAAGAACCGTCGGATATCTTGCCAGGCAAATTGGGATTTATCCTGACAGTGGGATAGAATTGGAAATCCAACATGTATGTCAAAAGCAGATGTCAAGAATGATCTGTGTGTGATATAGATTGAGGTATAGGCTGTGTGATTTTTGAGAGACAAAAAATAACAACAACTTGATGGCATCAGCTTGAAACCGAGGCACGGCAAACTGCACAGCTGCGGTTGAGTCGAGAACTGGAGTCTGCACGTGCAGGCTGAAATCTGGGCGTTTGTTGCTCAAAATTGTGTGCTTATTCATAAACATCATAGATTCATAGATGTTTTGTTTATGTGTTGTCCATGAAGACGAATGTGTTGTTATCAAATTACCTAATTTCTCTTGAGTAATTTGAAGAGATGAACATGGTAACGGCGTTGATAAGAGGCCGTGCAGTGGTGTAAGATCGACATTCCATCATAAGTGTTCAATTTCAATTTCGTGAGGGTTTTTCAACATTTTCATCATATCATGGTGTTTTCAATGAGCTTAAAACCACGTAGTGTTCACCAAAAATATTGATTTTTGAGCGTTTTACCACATAAAATGGCATTTTTTAATGACAACCCTTGTTTCCGAAACTTTGTGTGACATGAATATTGACGTAAGAGAAACCTAGCAGTAGCGTCGCATGATGTATGTGTGGAAGTGCAAGAGAAACTAGCAGTAGCGTAGCACGACGTATGTGTGAATGCGCAAGAGAAACTAGCAGTAGCGTAGCATGACGTATTTGTGAGTGCAAGAGAAACCTAGCAGTAGCGTAGCATGACGTATGTGTGAATGTGCAAGAGAAACCTAGCAGTAGCGTCGCATGACGTATGTGTGGAAGTGCAAGAGAAACCTAGCAGTAGCGTAGCACGACGTATGTGCGAATGTGCAAGAGAAACTAGCAGTAGCGTAGCATAACGTATGTGTGAATGTGCAAGAGAAACTAGCAGTAGCGTAGCACGACGTGTATGTGAATGTGCAAGAGAAACTAGCAGTAGCGTAGCACGACGTATGTGTGAATGCGCAAGAGAAACTAGCAGTAGCGTAGCATGACATATGTGTGAATGTGCAAGAGAAACTAGCAGTAGCGTCGCATGACGTATGTGTGGAAGTGCAAGAGAAACCTAGCAGTAGCGTAGCATGACATATGTGTGAATGTGCAAGAGAAACTAGCAGTAGCGTCGCATGACGTATGTGTGAATGTGCAAGAGAAACTAGCAGTAGCGTAGCATGACATATGTGTGAATGTGCAAGAAAAACTAGCAGTACCGCGCATAACGTATGTGTGGAAGTGCAAGAGAAACCTAGCAGTAGCGTCGCATGACGTATGTGTGGAAGTGCAAGAGAAACCTAGCAGTAGCGTAGCATGACGTTTGTGTGAATGTGCAAGAGAAACCTAGCAGTAGCGTCGCATGACGTTAATGTGAATGTGCAAGAGAAACTAGCAGTAGCGTAGCATGACGTATGTGTGAATGTGCAAGAGAAACTAGCAGTAGCGTAGCATGACGTATGTGTGGAAGTGCAAGAGAACCTTGCAGTCGCAAAGAACGTTAACATCCCCCCCCACCCCCACCCCCACCCCCCCCCACCCGGTTCACAATCACAATGACAAGAAGAACACACAAAACCGAAAAAATGGAGACAGCACACGGCCCCTTAACAGCGTCGACACCATGAACATCCATGGGTAAGGATCATGTTGTGATAAGAAATCTAAGCTGGAGAGCTATGTCCACTAGCCACTATAGGCAACATTATTTGCAAATCCCAACATAATCTTACGCTTGATGCAGAATTGACGAATTCCTGTTGTTCATGCTGTCCTGATTTTGTTTGTTAGTGCTGCCCACATGTTTGTTGGTTGTTTCAGGATTACACATGCATCAACCAGGGAAAATCATGGCCCAAGTCACGACGATCTCACCATAAATGATGCCAAAAAAGGGATCATCGGTGAGTCATCCCAAAAGAGTATGGAACATTTCACGAAACAAAATCTGACAGAGACAGAAATATGAAATGAAATTTAGACATATGCTGTATCATATGCTTAGTAAGGCGTTTAGTTTCTTGGGTGATTTTGATGTAACAACTGTGGAATCCCATGGCAAAAATGCCATGGCTGAAAAGCCTTTGGCAGGTGCTTGGGAAGCGGAAGCCAAACGCACCGAGACCAAGCGTAAGGCCGCTATGGATCCCTGGGAAGATCTGAGATGTTTTTTGTGTCGATGGTTTTTTCATGGAACATTCCCCATGTGTAGATGATTAGATGATTAGATGATTAACATGATTTACCTATTGAGTTAACATGAGTTATCTATTATTTCGTTTTAAGATGTTTTAAGATTAAGGGCCTGGTTCCGAGGCGATCTTCAAAAACCAGAGGCTAAGTCCGAGTTTTGGTGAACATGGACCCCATGTGCCTATGCCAGGGTCAAGACCTAGGACCCTCAAGCATTTTCCAAACTTGGCTGGGCTTGGCTTGGAATTTTGAAGGGAAATTGAAGAATTATAAGAGCCGCCTTTGGGCTGATGCTTTCTCAATGACTTTTTCTTTTTATTTTTTGTCCACCTGAGATGATGATGATGGTGATGATGATGATGATTATTATTATTATGATGATGATGATATTAACTAGCTCCCATTTCTGAGATGGCTCCAAAGTCGAAAGTTTGCCACGCTTTGGATGTTCATCGTGATCAGTACGTGTTGGGAAGCAAGCAACTCGCCTTTATCTTACTTTTTTTTTCTCTGTGGTGTCTGATCCGTGTTTGGGCTACCCCATCCAAATGGTCCTTGACTTTTTGGAGAGGTGGCCAGCAATTTCTTGTGGCTCACCGTCCGTGCAGTCTCGGAGCAATCGTCATCAGGAAGAGGAACTCCATTCTCTTCACGTGGAACTTGCGAAAAACTTGGCCAGCGAAGAGGCCCTCATGGGTCCGGGGTCAGTCGTAGTTAGTCTGGGGCCGAACGGTTAAGATTTGGAAAGGCATGGCACGGCATGAAGAAATTGTGCAAATCTGATATATCCCCGGGGAAACCCCGAAACATGAGCCTTGAAAGGTGGTTCACTGAAAGACCAGGTAGGGCATCCAGATGCATCCAGTGGATGTGGCATGATTTGAAAATTCATGAGTTGCAAAGCACCTTGACAACAGGATCATCCAGGTAGAATCCTTGAAGTCGCCTGGGATTCCATCCATTTCCATGTTCCAACCCCATGACTGGGATATGGCGGGATATGTTTGCTACCGACATTCATTGCTGACCGTGAGGCGCAAGTTGCAGAGTTGCAACGACAAAGCCACGTGCTGTCTTCAACCCTACAGCACACCTTGAAGGAGGGCACAGGGGGCAGCAGTTTGGACGGTGAAAAGGTGTGAGTTTTTTGGTGGCACTTGAGTATGGGTAGAATCTTAAGACTTCCAAACGACACAAGGCTTTTCTTATACAACCATGAGATACCACGAGTGTGTGGGTGTATGTGTGTGTGTGCGTCAGTCATGTTTTATGTTGCACGCATATGTTATATGATTCGCATCGAGCCACAGATTGGAAATGTTTAAAATTATTTTTTCATTTATTTTTCATTTGGGTTTTCATTTGTAATTTCATTTTTTCATTTTGTTTTTCAATCATTTTTTGTTTTCATTTATGTTTCATTTATTTTTCATTTATTTTTCATTTTTTTTTCGTTTTTTGTTTCTCCAAACTTCATTTTTTTCATTTCAAACATCATTTTTTTTCATTTCAAACTTCATTTTTTTTCATTTTAAACTTCATTTTTTTATCATGTTTTTTTCATTTTCCTTTCCCGTGGCACCTGAAATCCAAGAAAACCATGAAAAACAATGAAAAACAATTGGAAACCATCAAAAACAAAGGAAAATGAAAAAAAAAATGAAGTTGCAAATGAAAAAAAATGAAAATTTGGACTCAAAGTTGCAGGTTCTCACTCCGAACCAGGAAATCTTCAAAAACTCGAATTTAATTTTTTTTCATTTTTTTTCTCATTTTTTTTCATTTTCCTTGCCCGTGGCACCTGAAATCCAGGAAAGCCATGAAAAACAATGAAAAACAATTGGAAACCATCAAAAACAAAGGAACATGAAAAAAACATGAAGTTGCAAATGAAAAAAAAATGAAAATTTGGACTCAAAGTTGCAGATTCTCACTCCGAACCAGGAAATCTTCAAAAACTCGAGGAAATTTTCATTTTTTTTCATTTTTTTCATTTTTTTCATTTTTTTTTCATGTTCCTTGCCCGTGGCACCTGAAATCCAGGAAAGCCATGAAAAACAATGAAAAACAATGGAAAACCATCAAAAACAAAGGAAAATGAAAAAAAATGAAGTTGCAAATGAAAAAAAATGAAAATTTGGACTCAAAGTTGCAGATTCTCACTCCGAACCAGGAAATCTTCAAAAACTCGAGGAAATTTTCATTTTTTCATTTTTGTCTTCATTTTTTTACCATTTTTTTTTCATTTTCCTTTGCCCGTGGCACCTGAAATCCAGGAAAGCCATGAAAAACAATGAAAAACAATTGGAAACCATCAAAAACAAAGGAAAATGAAAAAAACATGAAGTTGCAAATGAAAAAAACATGAAAATTTGGACTCAAAGTTGCAGATTCTCACTCCGAACCAGGAAATCTTCAAAAACTCGAGGAAATTTTCATTGTTTTTTCATTTTTTTCATTTTTTAATCATTTTTTTTTCATTTTCCTTGCCCGTGGCACCTGAAATCCAGGAAAGCCATGAAAAACAATGAAAAACAATTGGAAACCATCAAAAACAAAGGAAAATGAAAAAAACATGAAGTTGCAAATGAAAAAAAAATGAAAATTTGGACTCAAAGTTGCAGATTCTCACTCCGAACCAGGAAATCTTCAAAAACTCGAGGAAATTTTCATTTTTTTTTTCATTTTTTTCATGTTTTTTCATTTTTTTTCATGTTTTTTCATTTTCCTTGCCCGTGGCACCTGAAATCCAGGAAAGCCATGAAAAACAATGGAAAACCATCAAAAACAAAGGAAAATGAAAAAAAATGAAGTTGCAAATGAAAAAAGATGAAATTGCAAATGAAAAAAAATGAAGTTTGATGGCAAAAGGTGATGAACAAAAATGAAAAAAATGAAGATAAAATGGAAAAAAACGATAATGAAAATGATAATGAAAATGAAAATGAACATGGAAATGAAAATGAAAATGAAAAAATGAAATAATAATTTTTGATGGTCTCAGACTGTAGCAGTAAGAATCTTATAACGCATATGATTATGATACATTATGATTCACAAGATGCAATTTATGTTGCGGGCTCATGTCATCCCATATCCCATGAGAACTTCAGCTTAAAGAGTGTTCCCAAGTTTCGACAGGATGCTATGAGGCCAATGGTAGCAGGAAAAAGCATGTTGCTCTATTGATATCCCGTTCGGGTTTATCTGAAAATAGAATATTCCCAAGATCATCATCTCAATCAGCTAAAAATCATCATTTTGACATTGAAATATGCTATTTTTGGAGGTATACCAGTATACCGATGTACCCCATTTCTACACAGCGCGCCATTTTGTGGGTCCAACAAAACGTCCCCATCCGTTGACGTGAGGAAGTGGAGACCGCCAGAGAGGAAGATCAGCTGAGACACCCAGATGCCTCAAGTCACAGGATATCATTTTTTAAGATTAATATAGACTAATAGTTAATTGATGTAATATTAATGTTAATTGATAGTTCATAATAATTAAAACAAATTAAAAACAATGATTATCTAGTTGAGGGATCTTAATGGTAATTAAAGCAACATATATGAGATTATTGGTTATAATAGATTATATAAGTTGGTGTGTTTGAGGATTTATTGGTTAGTAAATGGTTGGTAACCATGGTTACTAAGTCCCCGATTCGTAGGTTCTCCCATTTATAACCGGGTGCCTACCAGTTGGACCAGAAAAGACAAGATCATTACTTGAGTAGTCTTTGGCCACAGAGTGACCTTGTACCAATGGAATTTCAGAGGAGATGCTGTCACCGTTGGTTACAGCTCCGCTCTCCAGCCCTGCATTACTAATACCTTCAACTCTTTCTCAAGCTGAAGCACCAGGACAGGACTACGTGTGCCCGTGCCCCCTGTTGCATAACTCACCATATCGCTCTGGTCAAGCGATGAGGTCAGAACGGACAAATGTTGCCGCGCTGCAGGCAGAGTTAGGGCTGGGAAAAAGATGGAGCAACAATAATGGAGAGATTTGCCATCTAACTGAAAGTTGGGATGCTGTACTATCCTCAGTGGCCCAGTGGCAGAACTTTGGTGTTCTCAAAGGGGTCCTAAACTGTTAGCCATGCCAGGGACGTTGGAACCATCAATCGATATATTCACAAGATGATCCAAATTGGGTCCTGCTAACGTCATGAACTGCAGCAAGGTGGAAACATTGATAACTGGTTGGTGGTTTGGAACCTTTTTTTTTCATAGATTGGGAATAATGATCCCAACTGACTAATATTGTTCAGAGGGGTAGGTCAACCACCAACCAGATAAGTGGTTTGTTTTCTATGATAGGGAATTAGATGGTTCAGGTGGTTGAAACCGGTTGAAACCACCAGAGATCTTACAACTCTGTGCCAAGAATCCTGGGATTTGACACAAAACATGTGATGGCCAGTTTGAACATGTTTTAAAAATATGCATCTTTGCGGAAGCATTCAAAATTTGTTGCAAAAGTGCAGTGTTCCAAATCTTGTGTTTTTGTTCACTTCCAAAAATGCGTTCACACATGCTTGTTGGTGTCCAACATATGTCTTGATTTCGGTACTTGAGATGATGACCCCCATGGCAGGGGCGGTTGAAGAAGCTGCTGCCCTTACAGTCGGCACGACAAGCGGAGGCCGTGGGATGTTTGAAATAGCTCTGTTGGAGTTGGTGTGTTAATTTGTTGGGGTAAACTGGCTTACTGGGAATTGTAAATGATTAGAAACCATAATAGGAATATTATTACTATAGCTAACCAGAGGTTCATGGGATGGGATAGGGGGGTGTTTTTCATGGCTCATAACAAGAATAGTCTATTAATAGTGGTTTCTTCATGTTTCTTCTGGATTTTTTTCATATGGCAATAGGATTCCCCCACTTACATCCATGTCTTGAGGATGTGTTTCTTGACAAAGAAAAACCCTGGATTTTCCATGGCGACATTAGTTTTTTTGCGGAGGCTTTTTGAGAATTGATGCGGAGGTGACCTGGAATGGGGCACCTCTATAGCTGGATGGTTTTTGATGGAAAGTCATGGAAAGTCCTATTAAAATGGATGATTTGGGGGTACCCCAATTTTAGGAAACCTCATAGAACCTGCATGTGCTGAGATTCATAAATCAAGGAATAAACGAAATCATTCATTTGCTTTCACTTGTTTGCTGTTAGAAGAGGAAATGACATGTGTGAATGACACTCACTAATCTCATCTGGTCTCGAGGTTCAAAGTTGCACTTAATCAGTCAAGAGGTGATCCATTTTGAGGGGATACCGGGATACCATATTTTTTTCAGTCAGACCCAAGTATCCGATGTTGTTTATTATATTTATTACGACTCCATTACACATCATATTCCGTTAAGTCATTCTAAATCACTGATGTCCCATCAGGACTTAACAGAGGGCAAATCTCCATTGCGACCCCAGGAGGGTCTGCGACATTCTTTGCCTCAGCTGCAGGTCGTTGAAGCGGAGTACCAGCTGCACACGCTGCGAGAAGCTCTGACGGAGAAGGCGCTAGTCGATTCGAGTGAGTCAACAGTTCATGGGGACAGAAATATCATTCAAAGGGTTTTTTTAACATAAGAAGTCTGGTTTCTGGTGGTGATGATGATTATGATGATGATGATGTACTCATCCAAAGTTTATGATTCCATATGTTTTCGGTGGGGGCTCAAAAAATGGGATTCTGAATGTTTTGAAGAGACCAACTTTTTTCATGCTTGGAGGCTTGCAGAGACACCCCAAACATTTTTGGCGTTGGTTGCGTATGTTGTAGTTATATCCTGCATAAAGCCTGGTAAACACCATGGCCCCATGGCCATAACCCTTTTTTGGATGGCAAGCCTGCGAGGAGTTCATCCGTTAGGGTCTCAGCGGGACATGGGACTGGATGACTGTGACATGACTGTTTAGAACATCTCTAAAGAGTGGTGACGACACCCAATTCTTTGATAATGTTGATACCGTTTCAATATAAGAAATATGATGATATACTTGTTTTACATACTATATTTCAACATATTTCAATATATGTTTAGCATATTTTTAGCATATTTTTAGCATATTTTAGCATATATTAGCAGAAAGCTGCGGGATGGGCTCTATTGAAGGTCGCATCCGAACATGTCTTGCCCAGCTCTAGGACGGTCTTGGGATACGGCCGTGGTCGATTTACTTCTGCCAGTTTTGGCGATGGATGATTTACCACCCACGTTTCACATGTCTCATTGGTGTTTTTAATGTTTTGAGAAATATATCCTTATTCTATGGAAAATGATAATGTCATAGTATAATATAGTATACATAATTTATGTAAAAATTACTTATATATTGTGTACCGCCCTTCGCTGTAACAGTGGGCACCAGAAGGGCACCAGAAGGGTCACGAAGCTTCGAGGTTCAGAAGCACTCCAAGCACACGAGGCACAGGCGAGGACGGCCGCAGGGCCGCAAAAGATGTCGACTTGGGTGCCGACTCGTGAAAAAAGTGAAACCGATCCTATCGGTGCAACACTATAATGGAGACTGTGAGCACTTTTCAAGTACAAGTATATAAGGGGTCTTATAGTAAACATGATAATACACAGATGTAATATTATGCAATTATATGCAATACTTTGCAATCGTTTGCATGTGATAACTTATGATATATTATATATGATATGGGGATGGGTCAAAACCTTGCACCCCTGTAGTTGGACCACGGCTTATAGACGGCCGTGGGTTTTGGGGGGTTTGGGGGGGTTTTGGGGGGGGTTGATAACGTTCTTGGCTGCCCGCCTTACAAGATATTCTCTTGGACTTGCTGCTACGCTATCCACTCTTCTCTTGCACCGTACCCTGGCACACGCTATCAACTTCTTCTTGTAACTTGCAAGACACTCTTGATTTTTGCATTGTTGTTTCTTGGGGGGGGTTTTGGGGGGGGCTGATAACGTTCTTGGCTGCCCGCCTTACGAGATATTCTCTTGGACTTGCTGCTACGCTATCCACTCTTCTCTTGCACCGTACCCTGGCACACGCTATCAACTTCTTCTTGTAACTTGCAAGACACTCTTGATTTTTGCATTGTTGTTTCTTGGGGGGGGTTTTGGGGGGGGCTGATAACGTTCTTGGCTGCCCGCCTTACAAGATATTCTCTTGGACTTGCTGCTACGCTATCCACTCTTCTCTTGCACCGTACCCTGGCACACGCTATCAACTTCTTCTTGTAACTTGCAAGATACTCTTGATTTTTGCATTGTTGCTTCTTGGGGGGGGTTGGGGGAGGCTGATAACGTTCTTGGCTGCCCGCCTTACAAGATATTCTCTTGGACTTGCTGCTACGCTATCCACTCTTCTCTCGCACCGTACCCTGGCACACGCTATCAACTTCTTCTTGTAACTTGCAAGATACTCTTGATTTTTGCATTGTTGTTTCTTGGGGGGGGTTGGGGGAGGCTGATAACGTTCTTGGCTGCCCGCCTTACAAGATATTCTCTTGGACTTGCTGCTACGCTATCCACTCTTCTCTCGCACCGTACCCTGGCACACGCTATCAACTTCTTCTTGTAACTTGCAAGACACTCTTGATTTTTGCATTGTTGTTTCGGGGGGGGTTTTGGGGGGGCTGATAACGTTCTTGGCTGCCCGCCTTACGAGATATTCTCTTGGACTTGCTGCTACGCCATCACAAAATGAGTCAAGGTGTGCATTCAATGATCCAGCAATGGATGTGGCGTCAAACAATTTTGCCGTGTTCTCCCAAAGAATTGATGTCATGCCTTGTCGATCTGCTGAAGAAATATCATGACTTTCAATGACGGCTTCATCCACTGAAACAAATAGTTTGACTGCATTGCAAAATGACTAAAAAACATATTTTTCCCCATCTAATTACGAGATGAAGCCGCTTTAACCAATGGCACGGCTGCGTGAAAGATCCAAAATGGACTGGAATGCTCTGACCACTGTAAATCAGCAGAAAAACAAATGCTCAGCATTGCTGGTGTGCTGAATTCCTCACGGCCGCCTGTGAGCCGTGTACCTAGTTCACATCAAAATAGCTGGGATTTATGGATGTTCATTCCCCTAAAAATGGTATGAAAATAGGTATTGATCCATACCCATATATGATATGATATATATATATATATACCATACATGGATCCTATGGGTATGATATGATGCCATGGTGATGTAGCCCCAATGGTCAGCAGAAAGGCGGCGCAAGCCGAAGAAGTCGCCGGAGTGGCAGAGGCTTTCACCTGGCTGGTTTAACAGGGAGATGCGGATAGTTACCCTCTGGTAATTTAACGTAGCTATGGAAAATCACCATTTTTCATGGGAAAATCCACTATAATCACCATTTTCAATAGCTATGTTAAATTACCAGAGGGTACCAATAGTTAATTTGCATATATACCAATAGTAATACCAATAGTACCAATATATACCAATATGTACCTATAGATATACTATTAGATATGATATACTATAGTAATTTGATATAGCAATAGTACCTATAGATGATCCTAGATGTACTTAGTAATTTGCATCGTACTTATTGCCAATGATGTACGTAGACGTAGATGTACTTAGTAATTTGCATCCGATTATGTTGTAAGGTTTTTTGATGTTGATTTCCAACAAAATTGTTGAAACAAAACAAGTACCTGATTTTGGGGAGGCACCACAACATGTTGTGGACTCTTAAGGGGTTGTCCTAACCCGCAGTATGTGGCTGGTAGTGTCAAATGTTTTTGTTGGGCCACCCCAATGTACTTGATTGTTCATCGAAACAAGTCATTTTGTTTCAGGATTGACGGCACGAATCCAGTGTTTTTTTGTTGCATAGATGCTGGTGTTCAGAAATCAAGTTTTTGTAGCCAATGAAAAACACCAAATCATTACAAGTACCCTTTAGTAAACAAGAATGGCTGGACAGTTCCCCATGAAAGTACGTGAATTACTGTTGGAAAAGGGCAGAGTTCCCCTTTGCCAGGTCAGAATAATAATCACCAATTGGAACAGGCAGAAGTGGCAGCTGTCCGGCAGAAGTTGCAGGAGAGACCGCCGAGACCGAGAGCCAAGCTGATATACATCGGCCCTTTAAGAGCCATTTCTTTGGTTGTTTTCTACATGGAACCGCCAGTGGCTAAAGATCTCAAACAAATATAGTTTAGGTTTGGAAGCCCAGGATACGTGCTTGGGACGCAAGTAACGCATGTTCAGGACGCAATGTAAATATTTGAAAATAGACAAGAACGTGAGGCATGACTGTTAGAACCTTTGGGGTCAGCCCTCCAGATGGTCACATATTTCTTACACCTCCAAATTTACCTTGGAACCCATTAAGGGCCATATATATCCAGTCAGCAAACACATTTTCGGGACCCAATGTGTTCAGCTGCAAGGAAGTTCAAGGGTTGGAAGCAGCAGCTGCCAAGACTTTGCAGGAACTGGAGGTGCAGCGGTTTGGAAGCTCGGGTCTGGTCGTTGAGGATGGGAAGATAAACAGGGGTCTTGGATTGTCTCTCATTTTCCAGGTACCTGTCAGATAGGCAGCCAACCTCAAAATCATACAGTTAAATCACTGTTGTTGTTTAAGGTTTGGGTATCGCAAGTGTTTTGGTTGAAGATGTTTTTTCCCTCGTTGTTTAATCCACCATTGGTAGAATCAGTAGAATCTATATGGAATACGGCTACGCTATATTAAGTTTTGCACTTTTTTGGGACCTCTGAGTCGGTTCCAAGGTAATGTTGACGTGCGATGAATCACCCCCAAGATGAAGCACGACATATGCCGACTTTTATTGTGATGTTTCTTGAAGCTGACATGTCCATAGATTTCTCCATACTCCAAGAAGCTTTGCATGGCTTTGCATGCCAGCGGCCTCAGGCCTCAGGGGCCCAAACGTTATTTCAGGGAATAGAATAGGCAGTATTCAGTGATTTGCCATGCAATGTGTGTTGGTTTGGATGGTTTTTTTCCGCGGTTTCTTGAGCCGTGGGATTCTCGAAGGAACCTGCAGGATAGAGCGTTGCCACTGTAGAAGCGATTGCTATTCTCTTGTTGGTCTATGTTGGTTTTAGAAGAAGAATTTACAGAGTAGATGGTACTTGCGCTGCACACGTGGTGTTTCCACCACGTCTTGTTGGATTCAGCTACGAGGCAGGTGTCAATGATTTCCACCAAGATATGTGCAGACTATTCACACATGAATTTCCTTGGAAGCAGATTCCATGCAGTTTGGTTCCCTTTCTTGGCTCATCCTGAAGGGTCCGACGGTGACCATGGCTCAGTTTGGCAACCGCTGTCAGACCTTGGCCCTCTTTGGGACTGAGACCGGTGAAATCCAGACTGAATGGCACATCGCGATGGCCGAAACTGAACATCCGTCTGCAAGCTATGCATCATGAAGTATGATGATAAACATGATAGTAGGATCGATTGTGATAGTAAACATGATCATGATCATGATGATGGTGATGATGGTGGTCGTGCTGATGGCGGCGGCGATGATACGATTTAAATATTTAAGCTTACTACATTGTCCTATGTAGTGCGTGTGTATGTGATGATTCTTCTTAATGTCATGATGATATGATTTAAACTCACTACATTCTACTAAATGATGTATGTGTAATAAGTATAAGTTCGTGATGATACATGATGATATGGAGGTTTCCTGAAATAGGGCTTCCCATAAATCATCCATTTTTCATTGTATTTTCCATTATAAATCATTTATGGAAACCTATATATTGTAGTGACTCTTATCATTCTTCATCCAGAGGCATCGGCCCGTGGCCAGGCACGTCAGGCCGCGCTCCACGCGCGTTGCGACCCCTTGGAGACGCAGCGGGAGACGCAGCAGCAGCAGATCGCAGAGCGACTGGAAGAACTGCAGCAGGACGGGAGGGTGGATCTGCAAGAGATGGGCCATGTCTTGCCAAATAAGTGAAACATGTCTGGCATAGGAACCTAGTCATCAAGACACAGCATTGCCTGGAGTTGGCTGATGTCATGTGTTTTTTTTGTACACCCAGTATTTTGGGGATGATGATAGTGGATGATCGTAATCCATCAGCTGGGAATCCTTTTTATTTAACCAAAGTGTTGTAGGAAGTGTCCAAAAGGTGGTTGACACTTGACACTGCTCATTTAACTATCACTCATTGTATATGGGGGATTGAGCCAACCAAAACAACGATTCCAGGTACCAACTGCCTTTTTCTGATCATTTACCTAGTACAAAAGTTTGGTTTAAGACTGTTGGGCCCCCTCAAATGCTTGGCTGAATACTGCGAAAATCAGTTTTGTGCTTCCATTGGTATCCAATTTTTGAACCATAGCCATAGCATTCGAACTATTAAATGTGGTATATAGTTCAATAGTTGCTGGTCATGCCACTTTTGGTAGGCATTAAGAATATTGCTGCAACTAAAAACACAGTTTGGCCATGAGGGTGATGACTTGCTGGATGCTGTGACTTGCAGCAGATGATTTCACCAAGAATGGGATTTTCCACCAACGATAAATACTGAGATTGGCAACAAGTCGCTATGATGCTATGGGACTTTGATTCTGATGTCTTATGATATCTTCCATCTAGTTTGATGAGTTTGATGGATGCCAAGTGCCCCCATCTTCGGGATGGCGGCTCATCCACCGGATCACTTCTCGCCAGCATCCGCCAGCATTGCTTAGCCAGATGTGACGGTTTGCTGAGTGCCCAAGCAAAGCCGTAACTTGTGGACATGTTGTATTGTGCTGTATTATTATGTATTATATTTATGTTGTATAAACTACTCCGCATGCCAGCTGTTTTTAAGTCCAAATATACCCTAAATTCACCCAAATCCACTGGTTGATGATCGTTTTCCCCGTTGAATTCCCTTTTTCAAGCGGGGTCCCCTATTTTCAGGATGTTCCTCCGGGCGGTAGTTAAGTTCACAACGGCTGTGTCTAAGGCAGAATAGAGACCGCCAAGTCACCTGTAGGTCAGGAAAACCATTAGAAAAAGTCTGGGTTTGTTCCCCGAACAATCACTGCACTCGTGTTGGAAATGATCACGTGTGTTGGAGGTAAGATCGCTTTGTTTGCTGATCAAACCTCCATTTTTGCTGGTTTTAAGATTCCCGTTCTTGGCTTCAGAGAAAGCACGCATTGTTTGGTTGGTGGCTTCAAAGATGTGTTTATGTTCAACCCCAGATGGCTGGGATGATGGCAGAAATCAACCAGTAGGTGACTTAGATGACAATAATTTGATCATCAAGAATCAATAATAATAATTCATTGGATTGGTTAAGTCTAAGTGCATGTTTTTTTCTAACAGGAACCCCCAAATTTGATGATAAGAACCATGGTGTCCGGTTTCGATGTTCCCTAACACCAATCCATTCATCAGATGCACCATGTTTTCACCGATGGGGACTGGCTTATGAGCTCATTTATACGAACCACATGGGCGATCCAGGGGATGATCCTCCAAGCGGGAATTCACAATCCCTAAGCATCCCTAAGCCAGATCCAAATAGTGAAATCATGTGAAATCCGGCTAGCCATCATCAGGGGTGTTTATTACCCTCTGGTAATGACTAACATATCATATCTATTGAAAATTGCCATTTATAGTTGATTTACCCACTAAAAATAGTGATTTTCCACAGTTATGTTAGTTTACCAGAGGGTAACCCATCTGCAACAAGCTACACCTGCCAGGAAGAGCAGCGTCTCATCGAGACGCAACAGGGCCCCAAGTCCGTACGCACACGCCTGGAGGAGAACGGAGCAGGGCATGGCAGGGCCTAAGGCGATTGTGGCAAGTGCCAGGTCAGACCCCATGGTCGTTGATGTTTGTTTTGTTGGGGGGTTGGGAAATAGTGTTATCATAGATAATGATAATATGATAGATATAATAGATGTTCATTATTGTTGGGAAATATGTAATCAAGTATTATTATAGATAGATATAGTTAAGGACATTTAATGAGAGAAGGGTCCAGCTGCAAAGTCTTTTGCCCCAAACTCAGGTGAGGGACACCCCAAGTGAGGCAAGTTATTTTGCTGTCTAAAGGCCATAAATACAAGTTGGAATTTTACGTGACACATATTTAAAAAACAAAAAACATGTTTAGCAGGCACATGGCCAGGAAGAACTTTTGGAGAGCTCTTCTGGGAGAAGCTCGTCCCTCACAATTGCACCCCCAGCTGCAGTAGCTGCCTCCAAGCTATGCGGGCCTCAACATGTCACTGCTCTGAAAAAATAAACATTGGATCTATGTACGGGCCCACATCTTGAGTGGAGAGCTCCTCCAACAGGAGCTCGCCGTTTTCAGAGGGGTTCAGGTGGGGGCGGGCTTTGTGGGTACAATTTCAGCCTTTTTTAAATATCAGGTGTGGCTTCACAAG